CGGGCTGCCGCAGTTGCGCTGCCCGGGGCAGCGCCCACCCCCGGGGGAGCCGGACGTCGCTCCAGAGAACAGAGAGAGCCCAGTGGCGTCAAAGAAGGGGCGAGGGAACGGTGCTGAGCCTCCGGGCCGCGCACCGCAGGAATTCAGTAATAGTTTGGATCCCCTGCGAGGTGGAGTACTGGGGTGAAAAAAATTATGGGGGCTACAACACGATAAACACTACGTGTGGCCTCGCGATTGAGATGTCTGGCATCTAATTAACACATTCAGATTTGATCTGGTGAAATACACATGGGAAAAAAAAGCTGCTCTCTGAGCTCCAGCCAGCCATTCTTCAGTAAGTACTTAGCAAGAGACTGTTAAAGCTTACAGTTAAGGACTTTAAATCATCAGTGCTAATGACTGTAACATCCAATTTACAGAACTGATTCCAAGAACCTATCAAAATATTAAAAGCTTGTCAACTTATTCAAATAGACATGCAGGAAAGCCAAAAAGTATCTTGTGAGTATGTGTGTTCTAGTCAATAGATAAAATGGTCTCTTCTAACAATTATTATAGTGTTGATTAAAAACTTAAAAATATTTTGCCAACAGGCAGCACAATAATGGACCCAAAAATAAAATCCTTCAAAGTATGTCTTGACTGCAAATTACCAAACCACTGCCTCTGTGTAGACTGTGTTCCTCAGTGAAGTACTATCTTCCACAACAGTCATCTCCTCAAGCAACTGGGAACTGCACAGCCCTAGCCACTGACAAATGAAGGCAGTTTTGAGACTCTTAAAGAGTGTATTTGGTGAAAAAAGTCTATGACAATACCAAAACCTCACACATCCAGGTAACGAAATGGAAACAGACAATACAAGACAAACACAGATACAAAGGCAATTAAAAGCTGGAGTAACAGGGACAAAAGAGATTGCTCAAGGTCTATTCCATTAAACTGGCTCATTCCTTAAACTGGCTCTAACTGAAAGGAGTTTTATCTAGACTTACCATATAAGCACTATCACACCAAAAGCCCTGGCTGCTGTTTTGGAAATTAAGTACTGCTGTGTTACAGCTGATGGGACAGTTAAGAGTCTGTGAAAATCAGTCTCAGAGCAGGGGAATATGGTTAGTACCTCAGAAACAGCATGGGAATCTGTTCAGATTAGCAACTGAAGAATACATTTTCAACTTTGGAACTTGTAAAAACCCGTGAAGGAACTGTCACTTACTCTGTGTGGCCCTGAAAGACATTCACAGAATGGATAGAAGGATCTCTGAAATCCCACAGACGGAAGGTTGTATCGCGTGATGATGTCACCACAAGACGTTGGGTGGGATGTGTACAACAATGTGTTAGCTCTTGGTCGTGCCCTACAATTGCAGATGAGAACATGTAAGGTAATGAAAATAGGAATTTTCATTTCCATGTACACTTAGAATGAAATGCTAATGATTTTCTCTTTTTTCCCCAAACAGAAAAGAATAATAACAATCATTCTGAACTTTCATGTTGCAATCACTGGAAAAGTTTGGAACTGTATTTAAAAGCAAAAGGGAAAAAAAGCCAAACCAGTACTCATGTCACATTATTATTAAGTAGTGACAGGTTATTGCTACTTAATACACCACGAACACACCAAAAGCATTGTGCAAGAACTAAAATCTGGCTACATTTAGTTTAAAACCAACTACTTTCTTAAGTTATAGCACAAGCTTAAAGGAACACTGATTCATGCTCAGAGCATTTACAAGTTCAGAATTTTAGAAACCATTACAACGTATCTGAAGGGGGCCTACAATGATGCTGGAGATACTCTTCATCAGGGACTGTAGCAATAGGACAAGGGATAATGAATGGGTTTAAACTTAAATGGGAAGTTCAGGTTAGATATAAGGAAGAAGTTCTTTACAGCGAGGGTGATGAGGCACTGGAATGGGTTGCCCAAGGAAGTGGTAAATGCTCCATCCCTGGTGGTGTTCCAAGGCCAGGTTGGACAGAGCCTTGGATGGCATGGTCTAGGGTGAGGTGTCCCTGCCCATGGCAGGGTGGTTGGAACTAGATGATCTAAGGTCCTTTCCAACCCAAACCATTCTATGATTCTCTGACTGAGCAGCAGTGTAAGTCTTGTATACACTCACATTGTACTCTAGAGAAACAACTTTTCCCAATGTTTTGGTATGTACAAATAACCCCACGTATAAAAGTGTACCACTGATCTATCTTTTTGTAAGTGAACAAATACCTGTAAGGGAATGGACAAGCTCGGAAGTTTCTACATCATACAGATTTGCTGTCCTATCCCACGATGCTGTCACAGCTTGCTTCCCCCCAACAAGCCAGTCAGCTGCTATGACCACTCCTTGATGGCTTTTCAGTGAAGTTAACGGGGCTCTGACAGTGGGACAATCACTAGAAGCATCTCCATCTCCATCAGGTTCATCTTTATCTGAGAACTCAACTTCATCCTCTCCAGACATTTGCTATAAAATGCAAGAGGGAAAAACAATAATTAAAAAAAAATTTAGAATAAAAGGGCAGGAATGTCTCTAAGTTACATTTTACAGTGTAAATGCTTCCCAATCACCTCAATGCCAATATGGGTAACTTAATTCTATAGAATCTAGCCTACTGAGGTACTCACTTTCAAAAACTTAGTTGGAAGAACGAGTTAAATGCAGTCTCTGAACTGTTTAGCTCTGATCTTTACTGTCTGGTAAGTCCTTTTATATTCCCCTTACTGTAACATCCTTGAGTTTCATTGCAGCACATTTATCAAGGGACTTTTTTTCCTTTCAATAGTTAAGGGTAAGAAGCATTTAACAGGGCATTGACTATTTTAATCTCTGGAAGACAATCATTTATAGCTGTAATTTTATCTATTAGAATCCAAATCATGACATCAATATTTGTCCACTTGTCAATACACAGTCATCATACAGTGCTGATGCGAACTGGATGAAAATAAATTCTTCTGCTAACCATGAAGCATCGATCTCTGAACCCTATTTCACTTCTGCAAGATAAATACACTTATCTTTTACAACATTTGGACATAAAAAAGATAACATTGGTACTGCTCTTCCAAAATAGAAATACCAAATCAAATAAACTGAAGCAAACGTTTTGCATTCAGAACTCTACCTCATACTACCCAGCCACCTCTTGCCGCTGCTCAGCTTGCTAAGAAGCTCCTGCTATACAAACCATATTTGTCTTCATAATTTAGTAAGGGCGCTTTTAAGTCAGATAAGCATTTGACAGTCTACAGTAAGTACTGACTAAGTAAAAGCCTGGGGATGACAACATCAGACAGTGTGGTAAGTGCTGGCAAGAATCAATTAGAAATCAGTAAAGATACAATTAAATAAATGCCAAAATGACATGTCTTTACCATCAGTTTTCAATTCAGAGCAACTATAGCTAATACAAGTGCCTTAGTAAGTTAAGCTACAAGAATTTAACTAGTTTAAAAATTTCATTATTATTTATGATTTGAATTATTACAAAAATGTTAACTTGACAGTTCACGTACTTACACATTTATTATCTTGAACAAAAAGTAAATTACTTGTAGCTACGTATCCTATTCTGCACCATGGTCTTTGAAAACATGGAATCTTTTTTGAAAGAAAGGCTGAAATTTGTCTGTTAACCTAAAACCTTAAAATCTCACCTTTTGCAATACTGAAATCATGTAATTTTTTAATTACGTGTAAATCTAACATTCAGTCTTATCATAAAACCTGTATCTGGTGAAATTGCTGTGCAATTAGTTCAGTTGCAGCAAGTTGATTGCTTACATTGCAGTCTGCAGTTGGCTGAGGTGTAGGCAACTGTATTAAGTACCTCCAGATGTGAGCTGTCTGGTCTCCAGATGCTGCACAGGGGGAAGAGAGGTTAAAATAAAAAAAGAGAGAGAACAGATAAGAGCATTTCCTTCAGCCAGTTCCTCACCCAGCACAGTATGAACCCACTCACGCTACAGCTGGACGACTTGTTCAAAAGGATGCTGCGAGGGACAGTATCAAAAGCCTTACTAAAGTCCAGAAAAACTACATCCACCGTCTTCCCTCCATCCACTTGGTGGGTAACCTTATCATAGAAGGATATCAAATTAGTTAAAGAGGACTTCCCCTTTGTGAACCCATGCTGACTGTACCTGATGACTGCATTATTCTTTAAATGCCTTTCAACCCAATGTACCCAATGTAATCTTCTCCATAATTTTTTCCACAAACTGAGGTTGGACTAACAGCTCTGTAACTCCCTGTGTCCTCCCTCACACCCTTCTTGTAAACTGTAATACCACTGGCTGGCTTCCAGTCAGCAGAGGCCTCCCCAGACTCCTAAGACCTTTGGTAGATGATCAAGAGGGGTCCTGCCGTAACATCCACTAGCTCCTTCAGAACTCTGGGATGAATCCCATCAGGTCTCATGGATTTGCAAACGTTCAGCTGATGTATGATTCTAAGTGTCTGTTTTGGAGCAGGTAAGCACAAATTACGATACGGCAAACACAGATGGAAAGATCTAGCTCTGATTTTTTATGTCTTGAAATACAAGAACAATTCAGTCAGCAAGGATACTGACAAAACAGTAGGGAGAGGGGCTACAACCCAAAAGATGCTAGTGAATGACATATTTTTCCATCGTGATTAACATACAAAGCATATGAACAAACTTCACATACCTGTAAGAGCCACTTGCTCAGATGGATGAAACTTTATGGAATTTACTGTGGGGGAAGAAAAAAAAAAAGTTAAATTTTAAGCAAGTATACTAAAATAATCATTTCACAATGTTTGGGCATCAAAAGGGTCAGGGGAAAAAAATCAAGAGGTCTTTGATTTTAAGTAATTTTTTGTAGTATAGCAGTGAGATATCTCTTAGGTGAGATAAAGCACAATGGTATTCTGAGTACATAAACCTAAACAGTATCAAGGAAAGAAGCTACAGTTGACTATACAATACACACTTTCTAGCAAGTTATTTCCTGAATCTAGTACTAGCACTGCATGTTGTAGAGGATAAACAAGCCACATTCAAATAATCGTGTGTAAGCTGACAGAAGATAGTGCTTTGGACTTCCATAAAGAGAATTGAAGTATTCGTAACTATTTCTAGCATGCTGAAACTTGCTGTATATGACCATCAACTTTCTGATTATTACTTAAGATTGCAAGAACAAGCACCTAAAAACCTAATGCAAATAATACAAACCAGATTTCAGTCCTGCAACCACATGTAATCAAAACATTGTTTTAGAACAGTCCTGCAAGAATTCTACCACCCTATTCACTTTTTATTTCAGTGCGTAAGATTTAATTACTTTTCATTACTAAGTAAAATCGACAAGTTTCTCTTCAACAGTTCTTCAAAAAAGAACTTGGAAATCATTTCTGTCCATCATGCAAGTAAAAAATGTTTATGTTGTCAGTAGAGCGTGGTGTAATGAGTCTAAAGAGATACTCAAACTGTTCACACTGAACTAACTCAACAGTGCACCAACTGCTGGCACCCAACACCTTCGCTCCATTTCAAATCAACTGTCAAACATAAACAAGTTTTACTAAATCAAAAATACATTATTTTGAATATAATTTATATGCATTTAAATTTTTTTATAAATTATAAGGTATGTAGAATTTATATAAATTTATACATATTAACTTAGTTTACACACAACTGTTTAAATACAGGTTAGAGCTTTTATTATTTTCATGGTTAGCCAAACAGCAATTACAAAATACCAAATTATCAGGATCAAAATGCAAGTGATTGGAGATTTAAACATGACTTTATGGAGGATAAAGGCACCCTCCTCCATGCACCAAACAACCTGACGTACCTGAACAAACTGAAGTGTTACCTGTTGTTTCTATGCATCTATCTATTCATATCTTTGAGTTGTACGAGCCAGAAGTCGTATAGCAGGAAAAAGTAGAACTCATATAGCAGAAAAGTAGAACTCATGGTTGAAGTAGCTGACTACTTTCTGGAGAACTTTATTCTATTTGTATTTTTGCCACAGAGTTCACATGATGTGCTAGCTGAGTTATTTAACCAAACATATCACATCAGTTACTGTGTTGCTCATTTTCTGGGTGCATTATGGATCATGCAGTGACCACTCAACTCAACTGATCACTCAGAATGCTCAAACCTCTTCACCGCTGGTCTTTAAGATCCTATACTGTAATTTTGTATGAAATAGAAGGGGGCTGATCAGGTGCTTGTAAAATTGGACATCAAAAATGAAGACTAGCTTTGAAAACATTCACTGCACTGCACCTCGCCACCCAAGGAGGGGTTTAAAAACACTGCTTCTGTAATATTGATACCAGTACAAACAAATGCCTTTATCAGTTAACTGTCTTCAAAACAAGATTTTAATATTATGCAAAAAATCATACATGGGATCACATATTAAACAAAGTGCAAATAGATGTTCACCCAGCATCTGTATTTTGTATCCTGAATATGAGACCCTGCAAATCAGCTAATTTCTGATTATATAAGCTTCTCTTTCTCTGCATATGCATGATACCTCAATGAGTTCCGACATTTAACTTCTGAATGTCATAACTATGCCTGTGAATTTCTTAACACAGACCTGTTTATTAATTTAGCATTTACAAAACTGTCTTGATAGACCTCTCCAAGAATCATATTACAAGACATTCTCTGTATGAAGATTAGCGGAACTTCACAACTGACTTGTTAATGGTGTTGGCAAACTTGCAAGTGAAACCGCGATAAACATTTGTGTCGTCTAAAACACATTTTCCCCTCCCACACACCATTTCCAGTTTTCACAACATGCCCTTATCTTACCTGATCCAACATGCCCTACATACTTGACAAGGCACTTCCCTGTTTCTATGCTCCACAGTAAAGCAGTGTGATCTAGAAAGATTAAAAAGCATCTGTAAATATTGTTACAAATTAATCAGTTAGAAATGAAAAAACATACAACAAAATTATCATCAAATGTAGAGCATACCACATGAAATAGATTTCAAATGTAGGACAGACCAAATCCTCTTTATTACAACCTTATATATGAAATATACAAGCTTTCTATCATTATGACTTACTACACAATTCCCCCAAAAAAGTAAAGGCCCTGTCCCAATCGTATTAATTCACAGTAACTATTCAAAGGCAAATTCTACTTTTGATATTTTTCCTAACTTGGTTATATACTTATTTATAATGTTTCAACTGTGCATCACGAAATTCAAAAAGAACATGGAAATCATTTAGTGATAAAAAAGTCAGGCAGTTACTACAAACAAAAAAGAGTTCTATGCACAGACTATTTACTTCCTGCATGGGAGTCACTGCGTTAAGTCACGGCAAAGCACTATGAAAACTTACTTAAAAAGGAAATCACTCCAAATGCCCCTCCTTTATCCTGCCACACCCAAAAATAATTAATTAATGTAAGTATTTGTAACTGGGAAGAATCTTAATGTTTAATTGGAGAATGGCTGTTTCCAAGTTAAACTGGATGTCCCACACAAAGACAAAAGGTGCCCCTCAGTGGACACATCAAAATGATTAACAGCTCAGTTTATGAAGCAGAGGTTTTGGGTCCATAATATATATGTCCAGTAAGTGTTCAGATTCTGTTCCAGTTTCAAAAGACTGTCAGTGGTTATGGTTTATTTCCCTAGTAATTTTACAAAACCACACAAGCCTCTAGACAGTTTTTGGATCCTAATAGATTTAGTGATTTATTTTTTAGTACCTGTTCCCTCTCAAGTGGAAAGAAAGGAATGTAGTAAAGCTAATAAGAACTGAAAATTAAGATTTTTAGCTGCCCCTACATCATTAGGCATGAGCCAGATGAATATAAGAATACAGAACATGCAAAGTACAACTAAGTCTACGGCATACATAAAACAAAGGCTAAACAATTCTATGACAGAAGTCTGTGGGGATCTCTATATACAGCCCTATAACATTCTGTGTGAGAGGCCCCTCCAAGCAAGCAGCTCCCCAACCCACCCACTGCACCATCCAACAGGCTGCAGCTGACCTTCATGGAAGCTAACTGGCACATACTTTGGAAAGATTAACAAGGATGCCTAAAACTTCTAAAGGTTAAAACCACTCCAAGGAAACTCCAATTTAAGAATTTTTCAGCTACTGAATTTCTTTAAATTGACTCTTTCAGTGTGGAGTTAAAGTACTCAAGAATGCTCCTGATCTACATTTGGTACAGCTTAGGGACTAAACCAGAATTTTCTAAAGATTCAAGTAACACAAAACTTTACCAGCAGATGCAGTTCCCAACACCACTGGCTGAGTTTTCGCGACACTGACATCCCAAATACCATCCCTGTGGCCAATATATTCCTTTACCAGTTGACAGATTGCCCTTGATGTTGTAGTTTTAAAACTGGATACAATCTGAAATAGCAGAGAGACCAACATTTTTTTTCCATAATGACCCAAGATTACGTCATTATCACACAAACACAAAAAGATACTCCTTTTCATAATGATTCTTCAGTGTTCTGACAGTTCATTATCGTCAAAACATTTGATGGTAGGAAAGTGAGCTTGGATGTAAACATACCTCTTCATTTTATTTTTTCTTCATAACACCCCCCTTTTTACAGAATGCAAGATAAAATAGTCTGTACTACAGTAACGCAACCTCACTGGACTAATGAGTTACACAAATGTAGTGTGCACTTCCCATTCAATTTGGGTAAAGAATTATAATTTTAAAAAAAGAAAAATTGAAATAAAATTTTAAAGATTTTAAAACCCCCACCAAGCCACAAAACCCTTCAAAACCTTCCTTGCTTATTCCCAAACAAGTACATCTGATAAGTTAGAGATGGACCATGTTATCTAGTGTAATGTCTTTGAAAAAAATGTACTTACTACATAATTCTAGTAAAATCCTGAAACATTACCACCTAAAACCACTTTTTTTCTTCAAACCATAAAACTAATCAACTCAAACATTAACCTGAGAGCATCAGATGCCAGTTTATTTGTGTAATAAAGCTTTTTTTTTTTTTAAAAGATATGTCAAACTCATCTAAACATTTGATAAGCACATTCCCTCAAAGCCAATGCTATTAGGGAAGAACAGAGAAGACTCATTAAATCCAAATCTGTATGTGCATAAGTAATACCACATGAAAGGAAGAAAAAGTCTAGCTAAACCAGTAAAACTATAAGGCACTATAGTACAGGAAGGCTGAAAACACTCAGTATCTACAGAAAGGAACCAATTTGCAAAAATTGTACATTTTCAGATAAAGGAGAGTGCAATATGAAAACAAACAGACAAAACCAGACAAAACAAAAAAACAACTTGATTTGCTGGAACACTTCCAGAGACAAGTGAAATCAAGAATGGTGAAAGATAACTTCAAAAGGCAAAACCACTTTTAAAGATATCCTATTTTTTACCCCACACGTCTCAAAGCTCATAAGTGTTCTTTGAGAACGACTAGCTGAAAAGCTTTGTTAAAACCAAAACAAAAAAACAACTTCCATTTATCAGGGTTCTCCTCTGCATGCAATTATCAGCAGGTATCTATCTGGCCAGTTAAGTCAAAAGCATTGAAGGCTTCAACAGAAATCATATTAAGACTTATCTACAGCTTAGTAAGAATTAGAAAATTAATTAAATCTACAGTTCAGATACAATAAACTAAGGTTAAAATCCCATTAGTTTTTCGTATCAAAAAAGAAGGTTTTAAGTATGCCATTAAAGCAAATTACTTCCAAAAAGGTTTCTAGAAGTTCAAGAATATCTGCAAAAGCATTCCAAATCCTGAGCATGTCAACTTTCCAGTGTTGAAATTATAATGCCCTATCTGAATTCCAAATTAACAGCTAATATGCATTTTGGTTTCATAGCAGCAGAAGCACCAATCATTAAGGATGCATTGAAAAAATGGGTTAACGGAAAAAGTTGTTAGGTCAGCCATACTGCAGTTTCATAAGCTTTGAGTACAATCCTACAGATGCAACTTTCACATTGAATACAGTCCTTAAACTCAATGGAGTTACGTATAAGAAGTGGAACAGCAGAATTAAGTAAACAGTTAAGGACTTAATACAGCGCTCAGCTCAAATTCCAAAGTTGAAGTTTTTCAACTCTCAACCCCACACTCAAACTATGCTTGTGTTCTGTCTTTCTAATGCTGAGTCAAACCCTCATACAAAAGTCTTTTAGGAGAAACTATCTCCTACTCATCAACAAGCACAGATTTTCTAAAACTGCTGGGCAATGCTTTAACTGATCATTTAATGGGAAGGCTGTAAAACTCTTTCTGGAGTAGAAGCAGTCTTGAATGAACACACAGAAGTTAAAAGTTCAAGAACGCTATTTAACCCTAAATATCCCATTACAGATATTTATTTAATGCACACTTTTCCTACTGGTTTGTTGGGGTATTTTTTTCCTCTTGCTTTTTTTTTTTTCTGTTCCTCACTTCAAATACCAATAACTGGATAAACTAGAGAGCGCCTGGATTACTTCCCGATTCCTTAACCATATATAAACAATTTTCCATGACAGAAAAGGAAATATAACATGCAACTTGATAAAAAGAGCCCTCTGTACTGCAAATGTCTGCATCTACGAACAACTACAGCTAAATTACAGAATCTTGTCCATTAATGTATACAGAATCTTATTTTTAGAGTACCAAGCACTTGATCTACTCTGTCTCTTCAGTATTTGAACACTGATATATAACCCCTGCTGCTAAAAGCATCGTTTTCTGAGATGATTTTTGCCTACTTAATATTCAGACTCCTAATTCAGCTAAGGAATGAAAAGTATCCAGGTACAGGAATTTTCTATGAAGGCCTCGAATTAAGCACGTTTACCTCAGCATTTTCTCCAAGAAAATTAACAGATTGCTTTAGTCTTAGCACATTTTACCAATATTACCAATATCAAGAATCACCTTTTCTAATTAGAACAAGCAAATATTGAAAGCTCTTTTCAGAACAAACCTAAATTCTCATGGCAGGGGGGTTGGAACTAGATGACCTTAAGGTCCTTTCCAACCCTAACTATTCTATGATTCTGTATGTTGGCAATCAGAAAAATGTAATTATGTGCAATTACACAATACAATTTGTTTGTAGAACTTAACTCTCTTTTCATATCCCAAAGGGAAAAAAAGTCAGTATTTTAAAAAGGGACTTCTGACAAGTTTTAAATTAGACACAGAGTAAGAGTATATAAGGATGGGCTGAAAAGAGAAGTTGTGATCCACTACCCCACTGAGTTTGGAACAAAACCCACTTCTGATGAACAGCATTGTTCATTCAATGCTCATAAAAAATACAGGCACAAGAATTTCAAAGCTGTTAAACCCTTAAAACTCTTCAAATGTCATTTTCCCAAATAGGATATCATGGAACTCTTCAGTGCATCCAATCAGGATACAGATAGAAAGATCATGATTTGTTAGAAACTTAGTTATAGACTTTTCTGACTTTTGCCTAGAATCTCTTTGTGGATCAAGAGACAAAAGGTTACAGCTTTGACATTTCTGTGTGGGAAGGAAGAAGCAGTCAAAATAAAGCCACTCCCATGAAGTGCAGAAAGGTTTCAAAGAAGACACTGGACAGAGATCCTTTCAAATTCATCACTTCCCTCAGCTCTCTTGATTCAGAGTTGTGGAAAGAAATATATCAGCACATTCAAATGTCTGTTGGTTACTGATTGATACAATACATCATGTCCCACTACTCATGACTACCTCCTGTGCATGCCTGCAGAACACTGGGAAGCACAGCAGTTACCCAGAAGTCTCCACCCCATACTTTCCCATTAAGTTGCAAGGTCCACTGCCTTGCCTGGGAAAGAATATGCCAGCAAGTAAAAGAAGAAAATAATTTAATACCAACCTAAACAAAAAAAAAAAAAAAAAAAAAAAAAAAAAAAAAAAAAAAAACCCCCACCACAAAAAAAAAAAACAACCAAAAAAAAAAAAAAAAAAAAAAAAAAACAAAAAAAAAAAAAAAAAAAAAAATAAAAAAAAAACCAACAAAAAAAAAAAAAAAAAAAAAAAAAAAAAAAAAAAAAAAAAAAAAAAAAACACCCCACCAAACCAAAATAAACAACCAACCAAAAAAAAAACAAAAACAAACCAAAAAACCAAACACCACACCATCAAAAAAAAAAAAAATAAACAACAACAATTAAAAAACCTCAAATACTACACTAGAGAAAATACTAGTTCATAACTACATAGTAGGCGTACTAATATTTTATGTCCCTATTAATACCATGTTGTCCCTGTTCAAGCGGCCTCATTAAAGAAGCTGTAAGTCATAAACTCTTAGGCAAGAGAGGCACCTCAATGAATCAAATTGGCAAGAATAAAAAAGAAAGTTTTAAAAACAATAAAACAAAAAGGAGATCAAATCATAGAATCACAAAACACAGTAACTTAAATCTGTTTCACCATACTAATCTTTACTCTTACTCTCAAACTTTCAGACTACTTAACAGATGGTATTTCCAAGCCTCGTTCAGTCATTACATAACCACACATTAGCCTGCAATACCAGTCACCACAGAGCTTCCTACACAGTTGATTCACATGCCAGATCCTGTTGTGCTTTTCTCACATTTCATTTACCCTTATTAATGTATCATGAAGTGACCCTGAGGTAGAGTAAAAAGAGCAGCAGGTTAACGCTCTGAAAATTGAAAAAGGGGAAATTAGAAAGGGAAAACATACCTGACAGAAGCAGATGAGCAAAACAAAAAACATCAGAATGGTTTGCTGTGCTCAGAGACCAAGCAAAAAAAAGATAACTAGCTAACTAACTTGCAAGGCTTGCAGCATAAAAGAAACAAACCATTTTAGAATCGCAGCTAAAAAATAAGTAAAAAACCAAACACAACAACCCACAACCTGTAACAGTACACATACAGATGCCTGCTTAAATGCCCATTTCAACTGCAATACCCAATGCTTATTCAGAAATTTGCTACCTACTAAGTTATTTCCCTCTTGAAACTGATTTTTTTAATTCTCTTAAAAATAAAAAAGCAATCCCACATACACACATGTGCACACTCTCTCCCCTCCAACACTCATTCTTAAAAACAGGTGAGCAATTAGTGTAAAATGTCATATGCTGTGGTTGAAGTAATGGGTAATTGATGAATCCAAGACAAACATACTGTTCCTCAAGCGGCAGATTTACTCCAAGAACAGCACTACTCAGCTTAAAGAAAGTACAATTTACAATTTAAAGACAGCTATGTTAGTCTCATGAGTACACACTGATGAGTAGAGATTTAATTTGTCTCATACCTTGCTAGTAGATGCTTTGTAAGTTGTCTTTAATTTCTGAGAAAGCTGACTGGTACTATGACTGGCTGTTGAGACAAATAAATTCAAAAGAAGATATTTCAAATATAGCATTAGCTTTTTTGTGTAAGTAAATGGTATTAATTCCCTTCAATAAAATTCTAAGTTTTGGCCATCAAAGTATAAATAAAATTAATTCGAAAATACTGGCTTAGGATTCTTTGTGGTTCTCTTACCTTTTGCTTTCAGTTGTCCTTTGCTCAGTTCAGCTCCATCAATTGTCTGTCCTTCAGCTGCTAAACGCTCATTCAGTGTATCAATCTCTCTGCGTACTAACAAAACCAAAATTCGTATTAATCCCAAAAATTGAGTGTCAACAGCAACATCATTAACACTATTTGATAATTGTTACAGTTAGTAAGTAATCTATTTTATGCTAAGGACAGCAAAAGAGAACAACTGTGATTTTATAAAAGCAGGTCTAGCCAAGATATAAACCAAGACTCATGCTGAATTTTCCAAACATTAACCTTGACCCAGATTCCAAGGAAAGTATTGGCAGTTTTTAATTACTAATAAGTGTGGCTAAGGATTAACAAAACTGCTTCTATGAAATACATAGCACATTTGCATTGAATTAAATCCAACTTGCAGCATCATAAATACTTTAGCCGCAGAATTAGTATGTCATTTACAAAGATTTTATTAATCACAAAATAGCTTCCTCCCCTGAATGCCTATCTACTATTAAGAGTTTCAATAAGAAAGGTAGTGCAGTAAGCGTGTATTTTTAATACTTCGAAATACATTCAAAACATGTAGAATGACATATGCATTATACATTCAACTGTTTTAGAAACAGTAAATACAATCAAAATACTTTCATTGCACATCAGACAAGGCATATATTTGTAACAAGAACACACTTTTCTATCAATTATTTGTAACTCTCATGAGTGCCATTTCAACACGAGACAGAGTGATGGCATAGCTAAAACAAATCAAGTACTTATAAAACATTGCCAGTGCTTGGGCTGGTTTAAGATTGCTCAACTTCATTTTATAAAGAACATTTTCAGTGGCTTAGTTTCTTCTCAAAATCTGGGCTGATACTCTTTTAAGTGTTCTTCTCAGGTGAATTCTTATTGAGAGGCTTTAACCAAGCAGTTTGGGGCCGTTCTTGAGCACAAGTCTAGGCCTGTCTTTCCACAAATTCTTAGGGCTTTTTTAAAGAACTCATTCACTCCAAGGCTTTGAAATGTGGGAGAATGTGACACATCAAGAGTATGATTCCTGCCACTTCTGACAAATACACTGAAGTCTCAGCTCCGAGCACCAGAAAAGACAGTTTACACTTCCATACCACATCCAAGTGCTTGAAATGAGCAAAGCAAGATTCTTTTGCTGTCTCCCAAGTCACATAAACCTAAACTTTTATAAAACACAAACTATATGAAAATAACTAAACAAAGAGACAGGCTTGTAGCAATAGATGACTGAAACAAGCAAGCCTGGCAGATACACAAGTTGCCTGAAAAGAGTAGGGCTGATGCCCAGAAGGGATAAGAAACGGAAGAAACTAGAATCAGTTCATATAAAGGAAAAGGAGTACAGGAAAAGCCAGGGAGAGAAAAACCTTAGATTCTTTACATATGGTACCCACAACACTAGTGTAGGAGTTAGACCAAGAACAAAAAATAACAGACTGAGCATCAGAAGAGAAAAATTTACAAACTGTCAGGGGAGTGGAAAAGAGATCACAAAGGCCAGGAGTGAACTTGAACTGAGAAGTGAAAGAACATGAAGAAACAGAAATGGAATGGAAGGTACAGACAAATTCACCACTTGTTTTCTGACAAACATTTCTGAAGGTTGGAGAGGGAAGCTTGCTACCAGCCAACTTCTCAACAGGAGGCTGAGAACACAGTGGTTCAAATTGTCACAAAAAAATAGGTAGTGCTGATGTAGCGTTTAACCAACACAATCTCAGGTTTTCAGAGAATAAGAAATCAGCACATTTTCAAAAAGCCTGCAAGAGCATTTTTTTAACATGAGTGTTTGGTTTAACTGTGGGAAGAGATTAGGTGTGGAAAAAAAATTGACTTGGAGCCAAATCAGACAGTTTCCACAATGCAGAAGCCAAGCCATGCAACACAGCTTCCAAAATCCAGCAAGGACAACTGAGCAGAGGCTTTACCATATGACTGCCTGTGTTACTTACTTTGGATCCTCTGACATCACCTTGGATGACATTACCATACAACTGCACTGTCATTAAACAAATAATATTTTTTGCAGATAATACCTGGAATGTTTATCTGAGTGCTTCACTTCAACGTTCATGAACCACTGAGGTGCTGGTTATGCAATTTACTAAGAAGTATGATCCAAAACCACCACATTTTACACTTCAAGACACTTTTCCTATTTTATTTAATAATATTCCATCATTAAAATGAAGCTTGTAAATACACAACAAAGCCACAGCCTTCAATGGTTGAACAGAGTTCCTGACAGATTAACATGGTATATGCCAGAGCCTACAATGACAAGGAGACTTTCACTTTCTTTGCCTAAGAGTCAAGGAGGATGACAGACATTAGTTCTCACTTCTTGTATCAAACAGCTAAGAAAGTGATGGCTTCTGAAAAAGTATAAACTCTGTCTTTGGCTACAAGTTCAAAATAGTTCTTAAACTCCTCACAGAAAAGCTACACGAATTACACTACAGTATCCAAGGTAAGTATCTCAGCACTACTATATGCTAAATTCAAACAATTCTTAAGTTGCTGGAAAAAAAATACTCACATTCCAAATTTTCAATATACAGGTTTTCAAACTCCCGCTCTATTTGTCCAAAAAGTTCAAGGAGTGTATTCCGGATAGAAGATGGTAGTTTCGAATCCTAGGAGGCAAAATACTGGGGTTTATATTTTTCTTTACATATATTTTATGTACTTACCCTTCGATCTGAAACTGGTTTTAACAGTTCTCTCCAACTCCCACACCAAGGAGGGAAATCAAAGCTACTACTAGTACAGAACAGAAAACAAAAAGCTCTGTGCATCATAAGATTATTCATTTGACATACTCCTTCTCTTTCACTGGACAGAATTCGAATCTCCTGAATGGCTTTTTTACTTTAATTAGTGAAAAGTTATTAAAGCAAGATACGTGTACAACTCATTAAAAAAAAAGGTGGAAAAAATTACAATATAATGTCAAGGTGCTTCCAGTTCAAGAGGAAAGAATACCTTCAGCTGACAAAGTAATGCACAAGTTGAATATGCATTAGGTTAGGAAGTTGTCATCACAAAGCACCTTATTACCAGAACTTAGGACAAACGAACCTTTTAAACATATTTTTAACTTCTACCTACTTTTGTCACTAACCATAAAGAAAATTGCAATTTCTAATCCTTCCCTGCTTGATATTACTGAAGCAGCTCCTCCTCACAGAGTATTCTGAAGCAAATTCACAGAGGAGGGCTGTTTTCTTCCTTCAACATAATCAACACAGCAATTCCGAGGCACAAAACCAAGTATGTAATAAAGCCACTAACACAGGATTTACATGATCTGAGCTCAATGCACAGCCTGACCACAAGTTTCTGTTGGCAAATTATTTACTTTTTATTCATCTGCCTATAAAACAGAGATCATCACCATATTTTCCCTTAACAAATGCATGTCATATCCTAAACAAGTAACTACCAATTTCTGCTGGGAATCACGATTGTCATTATATCAATGATTCTGTTATCATTGTTAAGCAGACAGTTAATAAAGCAGAAAACAACTGACTGCAATATACTGAGAACCTAGTACTAACAAATATCTTAAAATTTAAAGCACAATATGTTACTAAAAGATGGTAAATTAGAAAGAAGAAAATATTGTCATTAGTATAATAACTCAAATTAATCAACTACAAGTACGGATCAAAGAATGAACCATCCTTGCTCACCACGTAAGTTCTCCTAAATCTGTTCTATTCTTCAGTTGCTGGTGGACCACAGTGTGTAAGTTGATTTACTGCATTTATGATTTACCTAGGTAGGCTGCTGTAAACTTTTTATATAAGAAGCTTCCACTTAACTGAGCCTTACCCTAATAATGAAAAAGTTGAATTACTCCTTTGTAGCACATCTAGCCCACCACCTCACAATTCAGTAACACAGCATCTTATTACTAGAAAAACCTGTAACTAACGCAGCTGTATTCAAGACCTGAGAAATAGCTATGCAAGGAAACAAGTTATCAAATTTCAAAGTGAAATTCATATAGTAGCATGTAGACCATATTACCAATATATCGATGTTCATTTGTCAGAGATACAAGGAATGTGCCTATCAGCAACATATATTTTTTCTAAACAAAGAGAAAGTTTGTAATCTTAAAATCTTGAAATCATCACTATGAGCAAAAAAAGAAAATTGAGTCAGCTTCTGCCACAGCACAAACCACTACTATAGGTCTAGAAGTACAAAAGAAGCATTATTAGAATGGGAGTACAAATGTTAGCACAGGACAGTACCCAAATTCGAGTGAACTTCATTATTCAATCAGCAAGTTCAGTGCTGATTATAGCTTGTTTTGTTCTTAAGTGTTTCAGCAAACCCAAATCAAAAGAAATTCCTATAGAATGAGGAAGCGTGTGCATACTGTCCATCAGAGGGCAGCATGCGCCTTCAATCAAGTCAGCCTCTAAGAAACCAGAAATTAATCTCACATTTTGGTTCATACAGTCGACATGGCTGTCTTCAGAAACAGTTAGAAAAGTTTATCATGATCCCGATTTTGTAAGTTATTTCTGAACATCAATTTTAAAGAGCAGAGCAAGAGAAACCACTAATAGCCATGACATAGATTTGTTCATAATTCAGTTTTACACCAGTTTCACAACTACTTTAAGATGTGGCACTGTGTTAAAATAATGGTACTATGCTCCTTATGCCCCCCCTAGGATATTCCCTTCTGCAACTTCATCTACCTCTTCCTTGAAACAGTACTTCTGTTCATACATTTACAGTCAACCAGAACGTGAAACAGATCCCGATTAAAACAAACTTAAAACAAGAGATTAAACAAGAATACTATACAAAAAACACTGAAGTTAGAACTCTTTTCAATTCAGTTACCCAATAATTTCATACAGCAAGATTATGAAAGAAACTAAATTATCCTACAACTTTCAAAACCAGAAAAGGCAATGTTAGCAAAGTTTTCAATCCACTTCTCAGAACCTGAAAGCATAAGCAAATCTGAACCTGCCCTAAAGTAACCAGCAGAGTAAAACACATCCACTTCCTTTACTCTCTTTAAAGTTGGCATTATTTAAATTAGCTTATTAAAATACCATGTAATAATGTTATCTTTTTATCTGCAGAAGTACTTATCTAGATGTGGTTTACAGCTCCACTGTGAAAGGGCATTAATACTCTCTACTTGTTAGAATCTGCCACTGGCAAGGTTAAAGGTCAACAAAATTAAATAAGATGATACACAAAACACTTAAAACATTTACATATTACGATATAAGACACTTGGAGTTTGTTAAGAAATACAAAAACAGCATAAAATTTTGGTTTACTACAAGAAGTGACAGCATGTCTTAACCTCTCAGCTGCCATTCCACTCCTTTCCTGAAGTAAGGCTGTAACAGTCCAAATGCATAGAGTTTTCTAGCCGAGTCCTTACATTCTCCAGCTTCTAGATGACTAGAAACAACAACGTGGGCTCTGTTAATTCCCAGAAAGCTAACACTGTAATCTATTGAGCAACAGGTTCAATTTAAAATAAAAATAAAAATAGGTCACAACACTGAAAAAACACAAGGTTTTCCCTTCAGAGCACCTGCAGTCTAGAAAGTGAGGTTTCTCCTTGCCAAACCCTGTTGATATTTCAAACCACCTCTCTGATGAAAATCAAGTTTTGCATCACCTTTGCCAGGCCCACATTAACATTGTGTAGTTAATTAGTTGTAGTAGATTTAACAATAAATAGTTTTCACACTGCTTATCTCTGGCAGCACTACTTCAAACACTTCTCACAGGAGCCTTACCCACAGTTAATCTCAACATTGTTAGGTGAAACACTCCAGGTGCTTCCAGACAGCATCCAGTAGAGACTGACATGATTATGAAAACTACCAACATTTGTGGTAGTTGTTTTTTTCCCTTAAGTTTAATACACAGAAGATCACACCTTTGAGCCATATTCAAAAAAAAAAAAAAAAAACAAAACCACCCACCCCCCAAAAAACACACACAAAACCCCCACAAACAAACATCTACAGTAGTTCATGCCTTTGTCACACAGGCAGTATTTGTTTACTTTATGGAAAGGAATGCAGAACAGTGCTCCCAACTAATACCTTCCCTTTCCGAGTCGTAATAACAAATATTTTGGTTTATTCTTATTCTTGGGTTACTACTATTCCAAATTCAAGCTTACAAAATCAAGAATCAATCTTCAACTTTAAGGTGGTGGGGGAGGGATGAGCAGTAGAACAAATGGGCTGTTTCTTCGCATTTCTTCATGGGTTTATCACACATGTAAAAATACACAAAGGCTGATAAAAAGCTCCACAGGTCTGAATACAACCTGAAACATTGCCAGTGTCCACATCGATAGCCTCCAGAGACAGTCAGCACTTATAAGCAAGAAAGCCTGCTGTTCCTGCAGCTTTACTGGACGTATTTCATTACTTAAGTCTATTTCATTTCTTCACACAGAAAACACTCCTCATAAAAAAGTTATGGCAGTTACCCAAGAAGCAGTGTATTATCTTACCTGCCCTTCCAACATGTCTCTTTGCAGTCCTGCTCGTTCTTGCTCGGAACTGTTGGTTCTTCGGATTGAAAGACTGTGTGATTTACGTTTCTGCTTTGCTTGGCGAGCAGATGCACAACTTCCACTTTCTATTGGCATTACTTCAAAAAAACAGCTTCACAGAGGCTCCTATGATAAACTAAGGACAAGCGTTACACATTACAAATTGTCTTGCCAAACTAACCAGAGTTTAAGATTTATTTTTCTCAAATACTTAGCTCTAAATTTTAGAGTTGTTTGGGATGCCATTAAAAAGAATCCCTCTTTACTTACACCTATTCTTCAAACACCATTAAGATCAAAACCACATATGCATATACATAAAGTGGAATAACTTTGGCATTTTTTATTCATTAGCTAACAAACCTCCACAAAAGGAAAACAAATTCCATGGCCTTGCTCATTTTGGAGAACACTAGCAGAGGCAGCCCAAAAATGCTTCCAGGAAACAACTAATAGGCATACTATAGTTCACTGAAATGCATGCAAAATTAAAACCCAGCTGGAAAATGAAAGCAAAGAGACATGATAATTTAGGGACACTGTCAGGTTACAAATGTATTATGCAACATTAAGTGTTAGTATACAATGTGTAGTAGATGCGCCTGTTTACACATAAGCAGAAAATAATTTTAATGGAGGAGTTCTGAAAACCACTTTCCACCATTTTTGACAGCTCACGGTTTCACTTTCTTGATAGTAAAAGTGCCCATGAACTTAAGAGAACAGTGAAAGTGCACCTGACTTACCAGGCTGTTGTTAAATTTTATCAGCTTGTCAAAGCCAAATATGCATTTTATTAGCCCTAGAAACACCTGACAGTATCACCAACTAATATTACCATGCATGATCTACTGCTTTCCTCTGTTTAAGAAAAATCAAATGATTTTTTGATTTCTTATATAAACGTGGAGAATACATTCTATAATGTCAAAATTTGGTTTACTTTTTTTTAAACAAACATTTAATTACTGGATTTTATTTTTTAATTTATTTAACCCTGATATTCAAAAGTAATTATTTTTAATTTCATGGGGTACCAGTTGTTAAACATTTCAAATGGTTTAGGATTGATGACTGCATTTTCCAATCAGGAACATTGAGAACAAATAAAATTTAAAAATAAAAATTCATTCTCCAGCATCAATGATTTCTGAAACAACATTTACAACTCAAAAGAGCTGCAATAAGTCTGCAGAGAAATAGGAGAGCAGAGTTGGCAAAGCTATCAAGGCAACTGAGCTTCCTTTTAAATAAGCTGATCAGAGAAAATTTAAACCAAACCCAGGGCCACTTCCAATTTAAGATCCGCCAACACACTGGATCTCAAGCTAGGAATGAGCACCATCACTATTAAAAAGACTAGGCATTAACCAGTTCAGTGGGTTTGACACAGTATTTTCAGCTTTTTAACACATCATAAAGCCAAGGAAAAGCATATCTTACTAGAAGCAAAGTATGCACCATGAATAAAAACACCTTTACATTTTCTTTGGGTTTTTTATGTCATGAAAATTATGAAGATTTACAAATTTATATCAAAATGAGATGAGATTTAGTTACAGTTTTGATGCCCATCCATCCTAAAATTTGCTCATTAAAAAAGGTGGTATTTTAATTCTCTTTCAGAACACCCCAGTTCCAGTAACCTGACACCAGTTCCATAATGAATCTAAAATAAAATTCAGATTGCACCAGCTCCATGCACTGCACTGAAATTATTTTGTTCATTTCCTCTGGACCCTGCACAGTCCTCCCCTGCACCTAATCCCATCAGAGCTTTTTATGTGTGATTAATCAGTAGTAACTAACTGGATATATTCACAAATTAAGGAAGAAAGAAGAGAAAATCTACCATTGGGTAGTTTCTTATTTGACTAGATTTCTTTTTTCACTGGGCCAGATTCCTCTACCACAGAAAGAGAGAACTGAGATTAAAATAAAAAATAACATAACATCCTATAAGTAAGTTATTGCCAATTTTCTGGGCTTCACAAAGTATCTTCCTGTTCTTAGACATATGGTCAAGAATTAGGAACATGTTTTCAGCGCTCATCACATTTCTCTCTCTTTTCAAAATATGATCAGATCCCAACTGCATGTTAATTCTCCTCACTTCCACCCTCCTTCCTATCTCCCTTGGGAGCCACTCTTTCAATGGCTTTCAGTTTACAGTTTTCTGCAGTGTTTGGGATCACTTGTTAAGGCCCAAGGCCACAAACATACATAGATGGGTTAACCAGTTCTGTACCTATACAGAAGAGTTACATATAATCACCTAGATCAGGTAACAGTGTTCCACTTCAGCTCTGTGTTAAACAAAAATAGTAATTCCTGATTCCTGCCAGATATGGCTCCTGAGCTGTAGTTACACACAGAGATGTTGATATAGTTTATGCCTTACCTCGCATTGTTTTAACTATTTTAACTTTTAATTGCCCTCTGCTGCCAAGCCACCTCATTTTAGGGGACTTTACCAAGAAATACACTTTGCTGGACTCATTCGTAAAATCATAGAATGGTTTCAGTTGGAAAGAACCTTCAAAGGTCATCTAGTCCAACTCCTCTGCAATGAGGAGGGACATCTTCAACTAGACGGGGTTTCTCAGAGCCTCATTCCAACCTAACCTTAAACATTTCCAGCGATGGGGCATCTATCACCTCTCTGGACAATCTGTTCCTGTATTTTACCACCCTCACTGTAAAATCTAATCTTGTATCTAATCTAAATCTACCTTTTTTTGGTTTAAAGCCATTACCCCATGTCCTGTCACTAAAGACCCTGGTAAAAAGTCCCTGTCTTTCTTATAAGCCTCCTTTAAGTACTAAAAGGGCACAGCAAGGTCTCTCCAGGCTGAACAAGCCCAACTCTCTCAGCCTTTCTTTCCTCACAGGGAGGTGCTCCAGCCCTCTGATCATATTTGTGGCCTCCTCTGGACTCACTCCAACAGGTCCATGTACCAATGGCTACAATCAGTTTTCTGAGCCACAGGTGCACTTTGCTACCTCACATCTGATTTTTCATCCCTTGGTATCCCCAAACCCTCCTCTGCAGGGCTGCTCTCAATCCATTCACCCTCCAATCTGTATCGATATTGGGGATTGCCCTGGCCCAGGTGTGGAACCTTGCGTGTGGAACCTCGCACTTGGCCTTGTTGAACTTCATGAGGTTCACGTGGACCCACTCCTCAAGCCCGTCAAGGCCCCTCTGGATGGTATCCCTTCCCTCCAGTGTGTCAGTACACCATTCACTGTACCACTCGGTATCAATACATACTGATTTGGCAGCTATACATTCTCGCATGTAGAATTTAAAGGGACACTGTTGAATGCATGAGATTACATTTTTACATAGTGAAATTCTCACTTTACACAAAAATTTCTACTTTCACAGTTCATAAGCAAACAGGAATGATTAGGTAAGAACCACCACCATTACTCTATTTGGTAGCAGCACTTCACCTGCAGCCAGTGTCACTGACAGTAACTGCACTCTCCTCATGCACCAGCATGACCACATCACTCATGCACTATTCTGGAGAGAGCAAGCATGCACACTCTTCCCCAGGCTCTGCAAGAGGGTGCACACAGCCATAGCCAAGCTGAAACCAGAGGCAACAAGCAGGCATGTGCATACAGAGGACAGGAAGGAGAAGCCAAAGGGAACTAGATTCACTGCCTTTAATATTGTCCTGAATTCCACCAAATAGCCTTACAAACTTTCAGTAAGGGAGCAATAATTAAAGAGTTTTTAGAACCAGGATGTAAACTCAGTTTTAAAAAGTGACAGTGTCCCTTTAAATATTAACTTCACTTTGACAATTTCAGGGCTATTTTGATGCTAATTGCAACAGTAAAAAGCTATAGGTTTTCCAAGAGTACATTTCACACAACAGATCCTTGGCAATATGATGCTGAAAAAAAAATAAGGTGCTCATTTCTAGCAGTTACCTGATTCCCCTTATTATGTAAGGTTTTCAAACAATGAAAATTACCTGTCCAGTATATCAGTGTCATGTTACATATCCTATGAAAACCATATTAAATATTGATTAGTGAAACAGTCAATAGTATACAAACCAGTCAAAGTCTTTCACATTTTTGAAACTTTTGTAGTTAGAACACACCAGATGACAGGAAAGGGGGATGAGGGAAAACATCAACACAAGTCAAGAATAAGCACCAAATCCAAGTGAAAGTAAGAAAAAAAGGCTTCAAAACAACCCATTATATGTTGTTAGTCAGATGTAGCTAATCATAACTTTTGAGTGTCACAAATGGCTTCCAAAAAGTTAAATTCACTTTCCTTCTACTTAGTAGTACTACAAGTCGAATGAAAAATCACAAGTATGGGACTCCAGTTTCCTCAACCAAATACAATTTAGTTCTCAAAAACCAAAGAATAGCAGTCAAGACTAAATAAAGCTGACCAAGAGTACGGGGGGGTGGGGATGACTGCAATCAGAAAAGGGGGCAGAGTGTTGTATTACTAAACTATTTTCATTAAGGGTGGCAGTTCACAAGTACTGTATTATTAAAAAGTGAGCTTATGAGACATACTGAGCTTTTCTCCTCAATTGCTTTGGAAAATACAACATTTGCAGTGTTCTTCACACAATGATCTGTCAAAGCCTCAAGAGAACAAATTTCTGACAGTCAATCAGCAGAAGTAGGGGAGAGAAAGATGTTCTAGAAAATATCTAGGCCATAGGTGATTACTACTTTCTGAATGCAAAGATACTTCGGTATTTTGGTAATGCTGTTTAATTAATCTCACAGCATATTTTACAGCACATTAAATTAAAGTTCTGCCACCTACCTTTCTGTAGCAGATGTTCCTATGTATCCAGTCACAAGAAATATTTCAACAAACTAACAGTGAAGAGCAGATGCGTAACCAATTACTGTTTTGTCCAGCTACAACAGAGAAATGGCACCAAAAGTGCACACACACTGGTCTTACTAGACTTAAAAATTCAGTGCACCTATCAAGTAATTCTACTTGCCTACTTCTACTCTTGAACATGGAACAAGCAGATTGCTGAAAGTATTCCTAGGGTGTGCATGCTGCTGAAGCCAGGGAGAAAATCTGTTTTAAA